AGCAAAATCAGCGTGTAATGGGCGTTGTGGAAAACCTGGCCACTTACCATACCTTCCTGGGCAATGCAAGCCTGATCAATACCGAGCTGGCGCGTTATAACAAAATAACGAAGGATGATCTGAAGCGTGTAGCCAACAAATACTACACGAAGAACAACCGTCTTGTTGTTTATTACCTCCCTAAATCTCAGCAGAAAGGATAAGTTTTCATCGTTAGTCGTACCACTTAATAAGATCACAAACGATCCTGTCCTTTAAAAAAGTAACTTCAAAAAGATCATGAAAAAGATAACACTCTCTATATGTGCACTCGCCCTGGCTGCTACAGCTATGGCACAACCGCTCGACCGCAGCATCCGTCCTAAAGCGGGTCCGGCTCCTGAAATAAAGTTGGGCAAAACCGAAAGCTTTACACTCCCTAACGGCATGCGTGTTTTTGTGGTGGAGAATCACAAGCTTCCTGCAGTGACCGTTTCCATACAACTGGATGTAAAACCAGAATTGGAAGGCGATATGGCCGGCTACGAGGAAATGGTAGGCGAACTGATATCTGCCGGTACCAAGACTCGCACCAAGGACCAGCTTAATAGCGCGATTGACGCGATTGGCGGCCGTATCAGCGCATCTTCAGAAAGCATTTTCGGCAATAGCCTGAAAAAACACCAGACTACTCTGCTGGACCTGATGAGCGATATGCTGATCAATGCGGATTTCAAACAGGCGGAACTGGACAAGCTGAAAACCCAGGCCATGTCGGGTCTTGAAGCTGCTAAAAACGAACCGGATGCCATGCTGGAAAATGTAACCAGCTATATCAACTATGGTCCGGAGCATCCTTATGGCCAGGTGACTACAGAAGCTACCGTAAAGGCAATCACGCTGGACCGTTGCAAAAAATACTACGAGACCTACTTCCGTCCCAATGTAGCTTACATGGCTATTGTAGGTGATGTAACGATGGCGGAAATGAAACCATTGATCGAAAAATATTTCGGAAAATGGCAAAAGGCTGATGTGCCTGTAGCTAACTACCCTGCTGCTAAAAAAGGTAACGGAACACGTGTAGGTCTTGCGGCCCGCGACGCTGCGGTACAGAGTGTATTTAACATCACCTACCCGATTGACCTGAAGCCAGGCGAGCCGGATGTGATCAAAGCGAAAGTAGCCA